TAAAACTGGGGACTCTTGGGGCTCCCTTCCAAACCTTCAGTCTGGGTGTTTTCCCTGGACTTCAAAGGCCCCATGGCACAGGTCCAGTGGGGAAGTCAGGGTTTGAGACCAGAGTCCCTTCTGGCCCTGTTCCCAGGGCCCCCTGGGGGTCCACTCCCTGATGAGGCAGGTACCATGTTTGGCCCCAGAGCCTCTCCCTGCACCCAGGCCGCCCTCACCTCGAGCCAGGTTCCCTGAGATGAAGCGGAAGAAGAAGCTGATGATGTCACCCAGGTGCTTCTTGCAGCCGTGCTGGGCTTCCTGCAGCCGCCGGTGGGGACCCTCGCCATGCCCCGACATCTCTGCTTCCTCTGGGCTCTCTCCTGGGCTCTGTCCTCAGGCCACAGTGTGGGTGGCTGCGCTGTGCTCCCTCCTGGCCTGGCACTTGGAGCCCTTCTCTTTCTAGAACTTGCCTTCCTCCTGCTCTGCCTGTCTCGATGTTGGTATCTATGCCCCGTCTCGGCCTCTCCGCCACTGCCTCCCAGCCTCTCACCCTCAGTCCAGAGCCCCCATACCTCCCATCCCTGTTCCTTAGCTTCTGGAACCCAGGGGCTCTCTGCTTTGTGCCAAGCACCCTCCTGGGCCAGCCAGCCAGGCAGGCATCACCCCCAGCACCGGGAGGAGCTGCCACTGGCGTGATTTCCACCTCAGGGTGTGATCTCACTGCAGAGGGGCCTCGCCGGTCCCCAGGCCTCTGTAGCCAGTGAGGAACAGCCTTTTCCCTCAGCTCTGCCTGGGAGTCACAGGACTGGGGCAGGGTGGGGCCTGGGCCTTGGACTTTTGCTGGACCTCTGACCTTTGATCTCTGACCTCTACTCACTGACCCATTGTAGGTGCTTCTCTAGAGTGGAGGATGGGAAGGTGGGGCCCGTCCCTCTGATGAGGACCAAGAGAGAAAGTTTGTTGACACCCTTCCCTGCCCCCCACCTTTATGGAGCACTAGAGCAAGCCTGGCAGCTTGCAGAGTTCTGAGCTCAGCAAGTGGTTTGGCCACCAAAGTGACCCTGCAGGCTGTGTGTGGCCATGAGTGCCACTTTCGTGTTTTCTCCCCCTACTTTTCGCCTATAAAATTCGATTCTGTTGGAGGTAGAACAATGTCCAACTAAGAAATGACCATAGTTCTCTGGCTAATGAACTGCGAGCATAAATCATCCAGAGATTTCTCTAAGTGCCGCTTTCCTGACATAGGCAGCACTACTTCCTCCTTCCACCCAATTTCTCCTTCCTCTTGTCCAAAATGAGGCCATGATGGCTGGCACCAAAGCAATCACTTTGCAACTGTGAGGAAAAGGTAAAAAACCCACTGATGTCCCCAGGCTACAAACTAGCGTCAGATACTTCCGAACCCAAATTAAGCCATCGTTTCTTGGAGTTTCTGGTATATACAGTGGCAGGCACGTCAAACTATGCCCTCCAATGTGCAAGGTGAACTGCTGTGCTGTGCACCTTCTGTGGTCAAAGAAACAAAAGCAGCTCTACCTTTGGGCGTAATGACCCGGCACTCAACACACACAGAGTACTTGAGGCAATTGGAAGGCCCTTGGGGCCGTGGGGGCCCCAGTGGAGAATTCCACGCTCCCTTGGCTGTCAGCAAAGCCATGCCTCTTTGGCAATAATCTCTACTTTCGACCCATATCCCACTGCTAGTCGCATGGAGTGAGATGCTGTGGTACTCCAGGTGGCCGCGAGGCCTGAGCTGCCACCAGGAGCTGGGCACCTGGCATGCAGGGACCGGTGTGTAACCGGCAGTCACCACACGCGGGCGTCAGGCGTGAGGCCAGGGCCAGGCGTGGTGAGCCCAGGGGCACACGAGAGCGCTGTGAGTGGGACTGACTCTTGGGGCACCCGCTGCATGCCCCCTCCCTGTGGCTCAGGGGTTAGAGGAAGCCCCGGCAACTGTCGGAAGAGGAAACTTCACCTGGGATTTATCCACAGATTGCAGGCAGCAAGGCGGCTCTGTGGAAGGACCCTCCAGGAGGCGCGGCCCCGGCCGGCCGGCGCTGTGCTCACCGCTGCCCCAGACGCGGGAAGGAGGCAGGGTCTCTCGTTCACCTAATCTTGGGCGGCTGCTAACCATTTGTTCAGGGGCAGGGCCGCCGAGGACAAGGTAGGAGGAGAGGTGATGAGGAAGTCACTAGAGGGCAACACCGTCAGGGCCCGCCGAATGCTCGTGAAGGGCGCCCAGGGCCGCTTGGGGAGGCGCAGGGAGCCACGAGGTCCAGACTGCCTGTCCGTGATTGTCACCCAGCACCGGCTCACATGCAAAGACCGTTTGTCTCAGTTCACTGAAGCCCCTTCAAGGGCTCCTCGGAAGCTCGTCCCCGGACTGGTGTCGATCCCCCAGGCGACCAGCAGGTGGCAGTCGGCTTCACTGTGGCGCTTCCATCCCGGAGGGACCAACCGTTTGTCCCCATGGGAATCGAGGACTTCCCTGCCTGCCTGTCCTGTCATGGCCCCCACACCACTACCCACGCTGTCCCACGCGTCTCCATGAGTGACAAAGGGTCTCATTCCCAACACAGAGGTCGCCAAAGGCCTCCACTTAAGGCCCCACTGTCCTTACCTGTCCCCACCCTGTGTAACTGGAGGCACCCTCTAAGGAGCCTGGGGTTACAAGGCTAGGGGCTGTCAGTCAGTGCCTGGGGGCGGGTACAGATGGCCAGAATGTCTCTCAGATGCTCTTTCCCTCCCAACTGTAAATTGTCAGAACAGTGCTCTGCAGAGAGCCACACAGAGGCCTGCCCCAAGGCCAACTCACGCAAGTGACAGGTGTAAGCAAGCCGCTATTTTAAGGCACTACATTTTGGATGTTGTATTAAGTAACAAAAGCGACCAAGACATCTCCCTTTAACTCAGGGGACAGACTCACACCCCCTTTGCACAGAAACTTACTTCGCAAGTCACTTTGCTCCAAGGCCCAGCCACCTAACTGTCTATATTCACAGTGAGCCAGGGAACCAGTTTCCAGAACAGCCCTTGCATGTTGGCGTCTGGTCTGAAGCCTTGCTTGGAGACGACATCGTATCTGTCCGTTATAGCTCTGCGCTTCCAACGTGCTAATGTGTGCTTGTATCTGTGACAGGAAGGTGGCTGCACCTTTCTGTCGTGGCTGCGTAGCAGGGACAGTGTGCTGGTGATGTCATGATTCCTCATGGGGCTGATGGACTTGAGGAGGGACAGGGCCTCCCAGAAGGGGTGCACTGGCCAGGGAGAACACAGTCTCCACTCTGGGGGAAGTGGGCATGCCTGCTGTTCCACAGATGGTGCTGATGAATCACGTAGAGGCACGTGGGGCAGGAGTAGCCCGGGATGTGCTGCTTCTCTCTGGGACCCTGGCTTTGTCATAGCCCCTGCTCTGGCCCTCAGGACTTCCCCGAAACATCCCAGGGCCTGGAGCCAAGGCTCCTCTGCTTTGCCCACCTGGCCCTGCTCCAGCTGTCCACAATCAAGACCCCAGGTTTTTGGCAGGGTGGCTTTTTTTACTCAGATCATTGGAGAAGCTGACAGCTCTATGGGGAGCTGGACTGGAGAAGCAGGTCCATCAGGTTGGTGGCTTCAACCATGCCCTGGCTGGTGTCCTGCCAGGAAGACTAGATGCCGGTGATCTGTGGAGCATAGGGCAGAGTCCCAGCACTGGGTCACCCAAGAGGGTCCCCAGGTTTCTGGGCTGGGGGTTTGGTTCCTAGGGGGCAGGGCCACCCTGCCTGCCCTGTGCACCCCACTTTCTGTGCCCACCTCTGACACTGTGTCCGGGCCGTCAGAGCCACAGCAGGCCCAGCCCTTGCCCTCACCTCTCCAGGTCCCTGCATCCTGCCCACTCCTTGCTGAGGCCCGGCTTGCCCACACCATGGAGATACTACACTGGGCCTTGGCTTCGGTTCTCAGCCACCCCAGACATCTGTGTCCACAGCCTGGCTCCTGCTGAATGGAAAAACCCAACAACAAGGGCTCAGTGTCTGGCAGCCCGGCTTGCACAGGCTCTGGACTGCCAGGGTGTGGGGACGCCGTGCTGAATGGCCCCCATTGTTTTTGGCACCCTGGGCCAAGGAGGCATCTCATCTGTATGCGGCCAGCATTTCACACATGCACGAAGCCCTGGGTGACCATACCAACAGAGTCCTCCCTGAGGGATCCCCAGGGACAGCCTGACTGAGGAATGAGGGCCAGGAGCTTTGTTCCCGGAAGGAGGGTGCATCCAGGTCTTGGCTGCTGGGTCTGTGAGGCCTTGAAAGACACACATTCAGATGACCTTACTCCAGCCCTGAGCTTTCCTGGGTCTCCAGCACCTGGGTGACCTGCTGAACATGTGATCCATCCTGTCATGCACAGGCTCTTAAAAAAAAAACGAGGTGAGGTGACCCTTAATGTCTCCTTCACACAGTTAGATAGAATTTCATTTTTCTGCTCATCCAATCTGAATTGTGGGTTTGCAAGTAACAGCTGGGGCCTTGGCGTGCGTCTGTGACTCCCTTGAACTTGGGAGGCTGGGACTCAGTGCCCCTCCTGCAGACAGGAGAGGCAGGTGTCCCGGAAGTCACACAGCTGGAGCGTCCAAGACACAGCTTCAAAGGCCAAGCACACAGCTCTTCCTCAAAGCCCAAGAGGCAGACACACACAGACACCTTGCATGAGGCCACAAATGTGTATATGGCATGTGTGTAGTAGTGAGCATGTGAGATTTGTGTCCCTGTGTGCATGGTGGATGTGCACACTTGTCCTAGGTGAGGGCATGGGTATGGGTGTAAAGCATGTGTGTGAAACCATGGGGGGCTCCTGCTCTGCCACACTTGGCAAACACCAGGTATGCCTAAGCTTGGCCATTGCTCCCACACGAACACCCCAACGCCAGCCCCAGTCCCTGGGTGCCCTGGCCAGGACCCCAGGAGGCATCCCAGGGGGCTCCAAGACTTTCACAGGGACAGAACCACACCCTCCCTTGGCCCTGGCAGGCCCAACCCTACCTGAGCCCTGTGGGGCAGTGCTGGACAGGATCCACTTGACCAAGCAGCACCGCATCAGGGCCTGGCGGGTGAATCGTGGCCGCTGCCACTTGACACCATCCTTCTTGCTCAGTGGAGTGCGCCCAGGGTCTCCCAAGAGGCTGCCATCTGCTGCCTTGGTGACCTCCTGCAGTGGAACAGGGAGAGTACCCTTAGCTCTGGCGGATCCATCCCAGGCCGTGCGGCATCCCATGCCCCTGGTACCTTGCCCAAGGAGCAACTCGAATACCTGGCAGGAGGAGGAAGGAGAGAGCTGTGGGTAGGTGCTAGGAGGTGGTGCGGCCTTCATGTGAATTTTAATCATTTGGGCAAGGCCAAGCCAGGTCTGCTCTGGGGCTGCAGACCAGCGAGCGCTGTTTTCCTAGAACATTGTTTTAGGCCTCTCAATCATGGTTCCCAAATCACCCGTCACTCTGAAGCTGCCAGTGGCAGGGTGGTCCCTTGACAGGGATTGGGCATCATGGTTCTTCTGGGCATCTGCGTGTCTGCCTTGCTGCCCAGGTGACTTTGCGCCAGGCACAGCCCAGCTCATGGCCCACGTAGCCCCAGGGTCATCCCATCTGCAGCACATTTGCGTGTTTTTCCGGGCTAGGGAGGTTTCATGGGCGTTACGTTGCAGTCAGGAGAAGTCTGGGCTGTCTGGAGGAACTAATAGCCCCTGCCGCCCCAGTCTCTGTAAAGTCACTGTCTTCAGAGTCAAGGTCAGTGAAAGTCAGCACCCGCCATCTATCCACCTGCTCCCTGCCACCCTTTACTCACGCTCCTCCCATCCTCGTGGGAGCTGAACATGAGGAAGAGGCAAACATTCCCAAGCCTGTGGAGGGTCTGCTGCCTCCTGCAGGCTCTGGATAAGTGAACAACCCGCAGCGGCTTCAGGGGACCGGGGACTCCAGAGACCCGCTCCTGCCCAAAGGCCAAATGGCCAGTTGCCCTCCGTTCAGCTATTGTTCAGTGGTGGCCTAGGCAGGGCAGGGCCCCAATGCCTTAGCCCAGCTGCTGTGCTTCCCCAGGCAGCAGCTGCCAAGCCCCTCCCCCCACACGCTGCAGCAACACCCCACCTCCCTCCTCTCTCCAGGCTTGTCGGGGTGAGGGGCTCAAGGATGCAGAGCTGTACACCATCCAGCTGACCATACTGACAGCGGGAGAGGGGGACGGCTGGGGGCAGGGCAGGGCTCCAGAAGTGCACGGGAGCACCCTGTATGTGTGTCCTGTGCACACACACTTGTGTCCACATTCACACACATGCACAGATACACACATATGTGCGCACACGCACGCACCCACACACCCTGCTCAGGCTGGGTCAAAGCGGTATGTCCTCCATTATTCAAGATCTTACTCAAGAGACAAATGGCCTCAATGAATGAAATCGTCATTTAGTCAAGAAGGGGGAGGGGGAGGGACAGGCAGCTGGGCCTCATTGTTTCCTGAATTCCTTGCTGCAGCTCTGCCTGGGGTGAGTGGAGATGGCCAGAAGGAGAAACTTGAGGCAGGCTCAGAGCCGATGGCAGGAGCCATTTGTTGGATCCCCATGCCCAAAACGGTATCAGCAGGAGCTGCTCTGATGGGGACCTAGGGTGGGCACAGGGATTCTGTGTCACAGCCCCAGGGCCAGGCAGCTGTGAGAGACACCCTGTGGAAGTCCCTGGCTTCTGTCCCACAGTGATTCTGTGCCCCCCACCCAGGGAAGGCTGGGACCCCTCTGTGTGTGTCTGTTCTGAGCCACAGTAGTCTCACAGGCACCACCACCCACACACAGAGGGCAAAACCACCCCATCTTACAGATAAGGAAACTAAGCCCATAGGGAGCTTGGGGACATACCAGGGGCCCCCTGGAACATGTTGTCTTCTGACTGCAAAGCCTGGGCAGCCTTGGCCACTTGGTGATTGTCCACAGGGCCAGGGCCCCAGAGAGGTGTCAGGTTCAGGGGGCTCCCAAGTCCCCTAAAAATGCCCACAATAATGATGAATGTCCCAGGGTCCTCCCAGACCAAGGTCTTTTGCTTCCTGTAGATGCTCAGGGTGGGTGATGGGGGAGACCAGCCAGTTCCTCTATCCAGCTGGAGGCCAGGGCTGGGGACAGACTTCCTTTGTGAGGAAAGCGGTGGGTTCCAAAGAGACATGAGAGGAAAGAGGACAGGATGAGGGCTGAGGGGGCAGCTCAGCCTCTGGGCCCCACTAGCAGCCAGCCTCAGACTGTTGAGGGGCGGAGTGACTGCTAGGTCACCTTCATGAATATTTGACATGCGTCTGTCTGGGAGAGGGTCTGACTGAGCCATCAGGAGATGTTAAATAGCCATCCCAGCACCCTCTTTCTGCCCTGGGAGGCTGCAGGCTCTGAGGCAAGGACCCTGAGAAGGAGCCAAGGCCCCTCCCCCTGGGAGATCCTCTCACTGCTTTGAGGGGGAGGCTTGGACATAAATGACATCCTCCTGCCCCCACTGGGACGCCATTCCTTTAGGAGGAGGGACCTGGGTGGGGGGACAGCTGTGCATCTTGCTGTGAGGATGGATTTACAAACTCACCCATGAGATCAAATTGTAGCGCACTAAGCACACACATGCGCGCGCGCACACACACACACACACACACACACACTAGTGGGTATGAAACAGGGAGGTGTGAGTCAGACTGGGGGCTGTGTCACCGTCAATCCTGGAAGTGCTATCAAGCTGGTTTGGGAGAAGCTACCACTGGGGAAGCTGGGCAGTGGACGTGGAGTCTCTGTGTTATTTCTTACCACACCTAGCTCCATAGAAGTTTTAGTGAAGGGTTGGGGTGTAGCTCAGTGGTCAAGCGCATACTTAGCATGCACAAGGTCCTAGGTTCAATCGCCAGACCAAAGAAAACATTTTTCAATTTAAAACTTCTCTCTCTCTCTCTCTCTCTCTCTCTCTCTCTCTCTCTCTCATCTTTCTCATACACACACATACACACCACACGTGCGAGCGCGCACACACACACATATTAAAACTGCAAATTCACACAAAGCCCTCAATAAATATTCACAAATGACTGGGCGGAAGCCCTTGATGTGTGCTTAATTTACTGAGAGCCTCTCTCCACCTGCTCCTGCCTCTGGTGCCCTCATTTTAACGGACGATGGAGCCCTCTTTGCCCCCAGGCCTCGGGGTGGTCAGGTGGGTGGCAGAGACCAATGAAGCCAGATCTGAGGCCTGGAGTCTGAGAGTCTCTGGCGGCTCACCTGACAGAGCAGGTGTCCCAGCCACACTCCAACAATGGCCTGAGGCTGACCCCGGGGACTAACAGCCCCCCTGTGCCTCCCAGGAGTCTGTCCATAAAGAGGCTGCAGGTGGCTGGGCCACTCTGCCAGGTACTCTGAGGGGCGGAGTGACTGCTTCCATGAGGTGTGGGCTCCAGCAGCCCCAGCATGTGCAGCAGCCAGTGTGGCCAGGTGGGGGTTAGCCTGAGGCCCCTGGCTCCAGGGAGATGGTTTAGCGTCCCATCACTCACCTCTGCAGGTGACAGGTAGCGGTGGCAGTTGAGAAGTTAATGTGGTTATTTTGTTTTGCTTTGTTTTAAGGAAAAAAAATAGTAAAAAAAAGAAAAATTAGATATGATACAAATTGGGGCCAGGGAGACAGCTCTTAGACAGCTCTGAGGAGAGATCTGCAGCTCCTGCCCAGCCTGGTGGCCAGGGACAGAGGGCAGCTTCCTTCTGCGTCTTCCTGGCCTACAGGGAATGGAGGAGGAGCAGAAAATGTTCCTGGCAGCAGGGATGTTCTGTGCATGTGTGGGTGCTGGTGAGGTGCTGAAAGGTTTATTTAATGCTTTTACCATCCTTCTGATGTTCCTAAAAATTACCCGAATCAAGCTGGATGGCGTGGCACACACCTGTAATACAAGCACTTTGGGAGGATGAGTCAGGAGGGTGAGAAGTTTGATCCTGGCCTGGGCCACCTGGTGATACCCTATCTAATGGCTTAAAAAATAAAAAGGGCTGGGGTGTAGGTCTATGCAAAGGCCCTAGTTTCGATATCTAGTATCACCACTAAAGAAAAAAAAAAATCACCCACCTAAAACCTAAATCAAGCCGATGTAACAGGGTCCTGTAACAGGTTCCTGTCTGCGGCCTCTTTCCAAGCTCCCCAGCTTCCATGAGGTGTGGGCTCCAGCAGCCCCAGCATGTGCAGCAGCCAGTGTGGCCAGGTGGGGGTTAGCCTGAGGCCCCTGGCTCCAGGGAGATGGTTTAGCGTCCCATCACTCACCTCTGCAGGTGACAGGTAGCGGTGGCAGTTGAGAAGTTAATGTGGTTATTTTGTTTTGCTTTGTTTTAAGGAAAAAAAATAGTAAAAAAAAAAAAAATTAGATATGATACAAATTGGGGCCAGGGAGACAGCTCTTAGTCTAAGTGCCTGCCTGGCAAGCACAAGGACCTGGGTTCAATTCCCGGTACGTCATGCCGTGCTGGGGTGCCATGCTGGTCACCAAAACCGGGTGTGGTGGTGCACACCTGTAATCCCAGCAGTGGGGAGGCTGAGACAGGAGGATCACTGAGTCTGAGCTGTGTAGTGAGACCCTGTAACAACTAACTAACTAAATAAAAGAAATGATACATACTTTCAGTAAACAAAATAACAGGAATTCAACAATGGTTGTTCTATTGCATACTGTTGACTTCAAATTAGTTGTTCCAGTTACCAGATACAAGCACGTGAAACTGGTCAAAAGAGTTATAAAAAATTAAAAGGAAGAAATAAAATTTAAGCACTAACTGCACCTTTCAGTAGCCCAACAGCGTCAGCAGTACGACTCTCCCAGTGATCCTGCATACGTGTGTATGTAGATCTTTCTGATGAGTTAATGTTGGCGCTTTGTCTGCCCAGCAACAGCTACCAGCTCCCCACGTACGACACTAAAAGATTTCCCTTTAAAGGAATTTTTAAAAACTTATACTGTGAGCTAATTTAAAGAAAAAGTGGACCGGGGAGATGGCTCAGTGGAATAAGCACTTCCCTGGCAAGCGCAGGGGCCTGAGTTCGATCCCCAGTTCCTCCAAATAAAAAAGAGTTCATTATTAAAATTCTTGGGGCTGGTGAGATGGCTCAGTGGTCTAAAGCACCTACTTAGAACAAGCTTAGCAAAGTACAGCGACCACCGCGGTTCAATCCCCCAGCACCACATGCCAGCCCGCCCTGCCCCCTGGTGGGCTGAGCTGGCCACACACACACACACACACACACACACACACACACACACACACATAAATAAATAAAATTAAAAAAAAAAGAAAGAAAGAAAAAGTAAGTAACAACATAGGTCAAAGCAGGAAAAGCAAAAGTGGTGAAAGTCAATGTTATGGTGTGAATATAATTGTCCCCCAAACTCTCACGGCAGTTTGACCCCCAAAGTCTTGCTAATGCTATGAACTGTTTGTTCACTGTGGTGTGCAGAGGTGCGGGCTTAGGAAGGGACTGGATTTGGCTAGGTTGGTTCGTGAAAGCACCTATGTTTGGGGGCTTTGTAAGGAGAGAAACAACAGAGATACCCAGAGTTTGGGTCATGCAATTTGGACTTCTAGCATCCAGAACTGCAAGCTAGATGAACTTCTTTTCTTTATAAAGTATCCAGCCTGAGGCATTTTAGTATAGTAATGGAAAACGCACTAATGAAGGAGAGTACAAATAGTCTAGAAAGCCTGTGTTTTTCTTCCCAGCCAAGCTTGGCCCTGTAGCTGACCTGTCCATACCTGAACTATCCCATGTGGTGGCCACTTACCACAGATGGCACCAAGGAGCTGTCACAAAGCTACTCCAAATTGAGACGTGCCCTTTATATAAATGTACGCTGGGTTTCAGATACACAGAGAAATGTAAAATAGTACATTAACATTTTTTATATTAGTTATGTGTTGAAAAGATATTTACATAGGATCAAGTAGGGTTTTTTTACCAAATAGTAAAATAAATTAAAAATAGTTTCACTTTTTATTTATTTACATTTATTTGTTTGTTTGTTTGTCTGTTTGTAGTACCAGGGATTGAACTAATTTCACTTTTTAAACTTTCTTTTCTTTCCCCCAGTACTGGTGATTGAACCCAGGGCCTTCCCAGTGAGCGACAGCCCCAGATCTCTTTTTTTATTTTGAATTTGATTTTTAAAAATTATTTATTTATTTATTTATTTATTTATTTGGTGCAGGTTCTTGCTACACAGCTCAGACTTGTAGTGATCCTCCTGTCTCAGCCTCCCCAGTGCTGGGGTCACAGGTGTGTGCCGCCATGCCGTTTTGGTGGCTGGCTCAGTGTGTGGCCGGCATGGCATGTGGTATCGGGGATCGAATCCAGGTCCTTGTGCTTGTCAGGCAGGTGCTTGGGCTGCCAAGCTATCTCTCTGGCCCTCTTATCTTGAGACGGGATCTTACTAAGTCACTAAGTTGCTCAGGCTGGAGTTGAACTTGTAATCACTCTGTCTCAGCCTCCCAGAGTCCTAAGGTGACAGCTATGTGCCACCACATCTGGCAAAGTTTACTTTCCTTAATGGACTTGCAAGAATATTTTAAATGACATCTGTGCCTCGAGTTACACCTTTTCCGCACAGCCCAGCTTTGGATGGCCGTCAGGCCTGTCTCCTGGCTGTTATTTTTTGGGGTTTCCTCCTCTAGCGCACGCCCTGGACCCTGGCACTCTCCCCCACCCAGTGACCAGCAAGATGTCAGCCAGAGCTGTTTCAGAAGGCTCCCAGGGGAGTGTGGAGGATGCCCGGGAAGGAGAAGCAGGAGAGTGATGTGGGGTGGGGGTCTCTAGGAGAGGAAGGCAGGGCTGCCAGGCAGAGGCAGCTGGCGGGGCTGGGCTGTCAGTGTGGCAGTATTTACGTCCTGCTTTAGATGCGTGCAGCGAGGGGGTGGGGTGATGTCCAGCCCCTGAGGAAACTGTGTTCCCAGCAATGGAGGAGGAAGCAAGACTATGTCCCCTCCTCTACCTGCCCTGTTCATGTCCCCTGCACTATGCCAAAAAGTTGTCACTGTGCCTTAGGGAAAAGCTGGGTCACCTGAGATGAGCCCACGACTGCAATGGGTGTCCCGCCTGTGGCTCCCTGGCCCAGGCGTTCTGAAGGGCTCACAGCTGTGCCCGGCCCTGCCCAATGCCTATGCACAGATGCGCACGCAAAGGACTGTGCCAACTTCTCCCGACTGCAGACCTCACAGCTGGGAAACAGCAGTGGACAGTGTCCCAAAGGGACAGTTGGGGGGGGGGGTTGGGGCGATTTCAGGCAGGTCAGCATGACTTCAGCACTGAGTCCAGGAGGAAGAGATCTGTGGTCACACACAAGGGGCAGGAAGAGGCCCAGGGTCAGCCTGCCTGGGGACTGCATGGTGTGATTCATAGGGTCCAGGTGGCTCCATTTTTAAAAAATGCCTCAGTGGATCTGGGAGTGTGGCTAGGGATTAGAGAGCGCATCCTACTAGGTAGAACGTTCCAGACTTGCCTAGGAGGAAGGGGGCTCAGCATCTTAGCCCTTTCCCTCCCCTGAGGGCCACACCAAAACCAGGGCCTGGGTTAGTCTGAGACTGGTGGGGCCCCTTGGATGTGGAGGTGACCTGTCGCCACCCTGTTCCTGGGGACAGCTGCAGCGCAGGCTGCCGCACCCAGCCCCCACTTGTCATACACGCTATTTCCATCTCTAGGGACAGATGGCAGGAAGCAGTGGTGGGTGTTGCGTCGTGCAGGCCCCAGGATTTGGGCGGGGGGCTGGGATGTGGGCCAGATGTGGACCAGGGAGCTTGTCTTATCAGGGGAAGCTGAGGCTGTCCCATGTCCCTGCAGCCGCGGGCGTGCACACACGGGCACACACGTACACGTGCCTAAGCACATGCACATGTGCACACGTGCCTTCCTGGATGGTACTGAGCACTGGGCCAGAAGAAGGGAGAATCAAGCGGTTCTGGTCATGTCTCATGGCTGCCAGCCTACCTGGGCAAAGCTCCCCTGCTCTCCACGAGGGCACCATTACCCTGGGAAGCCCCGAGCCGCTCACTGACAACGTCTCTCTTGTGCTGCCTGTCCTATGCTTTATGCAGAAACCAGAAAATAATGACATTGACATTCCCAGCACTTATGGAGCTTTTGCTCTGAGCCAGGGGCCACGCTGCATGGGTTGGTAGAGGGCCTTTTTCTCCTATGGGGTTGCTGACATGGCCCCTGCCACCACCAATGACATGTTCATGGCACAGAGAAGCTGGATGACTTGTCTGAGGACACACAGCTAATGTGGAAAGGGGCCGGGGCTGGACCCAGGCCTGCCTGGTACAGAGCCAGGGTGAGGAGCTGACAGGGTACAGCCATCCTGCCTGCCTGGGCCCTTTGATAGGTGGTGAAGACTGAGGCACAGTGAGGGCCAGTGGGCATGGGGCACTCCCAGCCCCCTGCTGCCTGGCATGGGCCCTGACCCAGGGGGGGGGGGCCCTGGCAGAGGCTGGGAGCAGATTTTGGGCTCGGATGGAGGGGCAGTGGCCTGGGAGGGCCTGGCCTGGCCAGTTTATAGGGCAGAGTCAGGGCTGGAAGCAGACGGCCTGGGGCCACAGCCTGGGTGCTCATTGCATCTCACACTAGGGCTGGGCACAGGGACAGGGCCCGGGTTACCCTAGAGGCCACCCACAGCTGCAGGCACAGCTGGATAGAGGCATCTGGGCAGAGAGCGGAGACGGCAAGTCAGAGGGCAGAGGCCAAGCCAGCTGGAGGGAGACAGGCCCCTCTCCCCTCTGCCGAGCCCAGCTGTTCCCACTGCAGCTCTGGCACCTGCAGCTCCCCTTAGAGTTCTGCTGCCACGTGGCTGCTGTGTGGAGTTCTAGGCTGTGGGCTGCTCCCAGCTGGCAGCTGCACCTGCTCCAAGGGAACATTAGCTGGTGGGGGCAGGGCCTTGGGCCTGTGACTCACCCCTTCCGGTCCTCTCTGGGCCACTGGCAAGTCAGATGTGTCAGCCTCTGTCCTCAGTCCTTAGAGGCCACTTCTCCCTCTCATAGGCTGCATGTGGGACTGTTCCCCCTATGAATCCCACAGAGGCCAGGACTGGGGACAGGAGCGCCCTTATACCAGCCTGTGTCAGCAAAGTGGGTTTTTGCTTTTGCAGGAGAATGCTAGGAAAAGAGAACCTGAATTTAAAACCTCAAGTCCTTTCCTTTGTACTTCAGATCCACAGCAGAAAGGGGAGGTTGCAGGCTCATGGTGATGTGGCTAAGGCAGGGGACACGGCTATGTCACCCACTAGCAGGTTTCAAGGTGCACTGGGCCACCCCCTTGTCTGCTGGTCGGAGGTGTAGTCCCTTTCCCTGAAGTCCTTTCCCATCCTCAGGACCTGAGCTACAGGACAAGACAGAGCAGGGTTCAAATCCCTGTGACAACACTGTTCTTGCAATCTTGGCTAAGCATCTACTTACTCATCTGTAAATGGGGACAATAGAGAGAGAAACCTCATGGGTTACATGAGGGCCAGGAGAGAAGGCAGAGAATAACAGGGCACTTCAGGGTCCCACCCCTCAGCCCTGCCTCTCTCCATCCCTCTGACTCCAGCTGGAGAGCAGGTACACTCCTCTCCCACCCAACCCAGCTCTCAGACACTCTTGGAAATAGGGGAGCAAATTAGGGTACATCTCCCACAAGCATCCTCAAGGAGAGGTTGTGGGAGGTGGAGACGTCACCCTGGAAGCCTCGGGCAGCAGCCCTGCTCACCACAGCAAGGCAGGGCTGCGTGATCCTTTCCTGAGGCCCTTGGAGTGCAAGCTTAGGGAGGCTGGGGCGGTGCTCACCTGCAGGGTCCTTAGCACTGGTGAGGGACCTTGTGGATGCTTCCCTTAAGACTGCTGTCCCTGCCCAGCTGGGCACTGGGAGGTATGATCTTCTCCATCCCTGGCCAGGGTAGACACGGGCAGGCCATAGGGATGGGGACATAAAGACTGTGAAGGCCACAGGCCCCATTGTCATAAGGCCAACAGCAGGACCAGGTGCACCTGTGGCCTCAGGATACTTGCTCTTCCATCCGGCTCCCAGGTGAGCCCTGGCAACAAGTTCCTGAGAAGAGATGAGGGAAGGGGGACTGTCCTTCACTTGGGGAAGAGCGGGGGACACCCAGGGCCATGCTTCACGGCTCCAGTGGGGTGCTGTTGCAGGGCGTGTGCTGCCCTGGCTGTGCGGTGCACACTCATGCGATGCCCAGCCGTGCCTCGCATGGGTGCGGTGAGCACACAGCATGAGCCTGGGGTACGGTGCTGTTTCTATGCTTCTGTCCTGCCTGCCTGGGAGACTTGTGACAGGAGACACAGCACCTCCGAGGGCCATGTGTCGCCACCTCTGCTGCTCCTGGCATCCTTGGGACACAGGGGTGGCCATGCTGAGGGATGCAGAAGCCCTCTCTGGCTGCTTGACCTCACATGTAAGGGCCAGGAAGCTGTCTCCAGGGAGGAGAGACAGATGCCAGCGCGAGATCTAGTCTCTCGCCCAAGACCCTGCTTTGATTTGGGTCCCTTGCCCTTTCTTTTCTCTCCCTCTTGCTGCCTGCCTATGCTGGCTGGCCATCCAGCAGCCACGTTGGACCCTAAGATGACCTCAAGGGTGGAAGGCAGTAAGAAAGACCGTGAGAGCCCTAGTCATCCATTGCCTCCCTCTGGACTTCTGCAGGAGGAAAGGCAACAGCCCAGTCCCAGCCACCGTAACTTGGGTGCTCTGCTCTGAGTACTGGATCCCAGTGCTTCTTCCTTCTTCAAAGCTTCTTCCTTCTTCCAAAACATGATTGTCCCGGACATGTGAGCAGTTCACAGGGCAAGGGGCCAGCTTTTCTTTCCTTTTTTTTTTTTTTATATTTTAGGGAAGGGTCTACAGGGTGCTCAGGGTCTCACTACTAGATCGGACTCTAGTGATCCACCTGTTTACAGCCTCCCAGGAGCTGGGATTACAGGCTTGCGCCACCACGCCCAGTTTCAATTAACAACTCAGCATGCCCAGGGGGCAGGGCTGGCACGGCAGGCCTGGGGATTGAACCCCCAGCCCCTGCTCCTGCTTGCAGTTTCTTTAATCCACTGAGCTATTTGAGGCCAGCTTTTCAAAGGGCAGTTTCTTTCTTTCTTTCTTTCTTTCTTTCTTTCTTTCTTTCTTTCTTTCTTTCTTTCTTT